ACTGAGGCTCTTTTTGTGGCCTGGTATGTATTCTATTCTGGAAAATATTCCATGTGCACTTGAGAAGAATATGTATCCTGCTGCTTTTGGGTGTAGAGTTCTGTAGATGTCTGTTAGGTCCGTCTGTTCTAGTGTGTTGTTCAGTGCCTCTGTTTACTTACTTATTTTCTGTCTGGTGGATCTGTTCTTTGGAGTGAGTGGTGTGCTGAAGTCTCCTAGAATGAATGCATTGCATTCTATTCCTCCTTTAATTCTGTTAATATTTGTTTCACATATGTCGGTGCTCCTGTGTTGGGTGCATATACATTTATAATGGTTATATCCTCTTGTTGGACTGACCCCTTTGTCATTATGTAATGTCCTTTTTTATCTCTTGTTACTTTCTTTGTTTTGAAGTCTATTTTGTCGGATACAAGTACTGCAATACCTACTTTTTTATCCCTATTGTTTGCATAAAGTATCTTTTTTCATCCCTTCACTTTTAGTCTGTGTATGTCTTTGGGTTTGAGGTGAATCTCTTGTAAACCACATACAGATGGGTCTTGTTTTTTTTTTCTATTCTATTACTCTGTGTCTTTTGATTGGTGTATTCAGTCCATTTACATTTAGGGTGATTATCGAAAGATATGTACTTATTGCCATTGCAGGCTTTGGATTCGTGGTTACCAAAGGTTCAAGGGTACCTTCTTTATTATCTATCCATCTAACTTAACTCTCTTATTAAACTATTATAAATACAGTGTGATGATTCTTTATTTCTCTCCCTTCTTATTCTTCCTCCTCCATTCTTTATATGCTAGGTGTTGTATTCTGTACCCTTTTGTGTTTTCCTCAACTGTTTTTGTGAATAGTTGATTTTATTTTTTGCCTTTAGTTAGTATTTGCCTTCTTTGCTGTGATTTTGTTTTCTCTGGTAACATCTATTTAGCCTTAGGAGTACTTCCATCTAGAGCAGTCCATTCAACATTCCCTGTAGAGGTGGTTTGTGGGAGGCAAATTCCCTCAACTTTTGCTTATCTGGGAATTGTTTAATCCCTCCTTCAAATTTAAATGATAATCTTGCTGGATACAGTAGTCTTGGTTCAAGGCCCTTCTGTTTCATTGCATTAAATATATCAGGACATTCTCTTCTGGTGTGGAAGGTTTCTGTTAAGAAGTCTGATGATAGCCTTATAGGTTTTCCTCTGTAGGTGATCTTTTTTCTCTCTCTTTAATACTCTGTCCTTGTCTTTGATCTTTGCCATTTTAATTTTTATATGTCTTGGTGTTGTCCTCCTTGCATCCCTTGGGTTGGGAGATCTGTGGGCTTCCATGGTCTGAGAGACTATTTCCTCCCTCAGCTTGGGGAAGTTGTCATCAATTATTTCTTCAAAGACACTTTCTATCCATTTTTCTCTCTCCTCTTCTTCTGGTACCCTTATAGTGCGAATATTGTTCCATTTGGATTGGTCACACAGTTCTCTTAATACTCTTTCATTCCTGGAGATCCTTTTATCTCTCTCTGCCTCAGCTTCTCTGTATTCCTGTTCTCTGATTTCTATTCCATTAACAGTCTCTTGCACCTCATCTAGTCTGCTCTTAAGTCCTTCCAGAGATTGTTTCATGTCTGTTATCTCCCTCCAGAATTCATCCCTTAGCTCTTGTGTATTTCTTTGCAGCTCCATCAGCATGGTTATGACCTTTATTTTGAATTCTTTCAGGAAGATTGGTTATATCTATCTCCCCAGACCCTCTCTCTGGGGTTGTCTGAGTGATTCTTGACTGGACCAGATTCTTCTGCCTTTTCATTGCGATAGAGGTGGTTGTAGGCAGGTGGCATGTGTGTCAGCTGGGAGAACAAAGTCCCTCCCTGCTTGCTGGTTGCCTTGCCCTTCTCCACTGCCTGTGTAGGTTCCCTGCACACCAGGAGCAGTCTCTGGGATAATCTCCTAAGCTGCCATGGGTGGGGCAGCCCTCAGGATAGCCCAGAGCCTTACAGGTAGTGGCAGCTGTATAGGGTGTGTTCTCCTGCAAGAACAGTGCCCCTTCGTGCCTTCCGGACCTTGCTTCAGCTTCCTCTGTCTGTGCCAGGCAGCTGCACGCCAGTGGCAGCCTCCAGGTGTGTCCCAGGTAGCTGCACGCTGGGGGGAAACTCTGGGTGATTGCTGTGGGCGGGGCCGCTCTCCAGCTGCTCTGCCACTGTGGCGGGTTAGCTGGTTTGCTTGCAGCGCTGGCAGGGGGTATGAATGGCAGGCTGCTTATCACCATGAGGGGCTTCGGGGCTGCTTTACCCCCCAGGGGGTTAGGGGGCCTGAAGTTCCTCAAGATTCCCAGCCTGCTGGGCTGAGTGTGCTGGGACGATTTTGTTCAGTTGTTGAGCCCTTGCCCCTTTAAGACTTTTAAAAAGTGCCCACTTTTATTTTGTCCCATGGGAGGCGGCTGTGGGGACCCGCTCGCAGTCTCTGTCTCAGACCCTGCCCTTCCGTTTCTCTAATATCCAGCACACCATGCAATGTGTGTCTGTGGTCCCGTGCAGATTACTAGGGCTGGTTGTTTAGCAGTCCTGCGCTTCCACTCCCTCCCCACTCCAACTCCTCTCCTCCCGCTGGTGACGCTGGGGTGGGGGGAATGCTCAGGTCCCGCCAGGTTGCGACTTTGTATCTTACCCCCTTGGTGAGATGCTGAGTTCTTGCAGATGTAGATGTAGCCTGACTGTTGTGCTGTATCTTCTCATCTCTCTCTTAGGAATAGTTGTATTTGTTGTATTTTCAAAAATATATATGGCTTTGGGAGGAGATTTCTACTGCCCTGCTCACACCGCCATCTTGAGCCCTCCTTCTTTCCACTATTCTACTTTATATTGTGCAAAGCCAGATCTAAATGCAAAGATAAGAGCATTTTGTACCTATGGGGAATCACCGGTTTACACAATTGGCATTTCATAGTGCTTTGAATGCATTTCTGGGGGGCTTCCTACTAGCCAAAAGAAGCAAACTCAAGCCAGACTTGGAGGAAGAAAGGGTTCCCCCAGGCACCCAGCCAGCCAGAGGAGCACACCTCATTCACCAGGATACACTCAGGGCCAGGGAAGTTGCCCTGGGACCCCCTGCCCTGATCTCTGGGCTCATGCACTTGGGCCTGAAGGATGCTGGGATCCCCCTCCTGCTAGCCACCCCACACTCTAGCCTGGAATGGGCTCTGGGCAAGTTGAGCTCTGAGTCTCCCCTTCCCAAGGACCTGCCATTCCAATCCACAGAGTGCTAGCAACATCCAAGCACTTTACACCTGTGCTCCTGTGCATGCTAGGTGCCTGGATCAACACTGGCTAACTGCCCACCCACTCCAGACAAGCCTCCATCCTGCCTGGCCCCACCATCCCCGCACACACACCAGGATGGCATCGATGCAACATGGGACTCTCCGACAATGTGACCCAGCTGCCACTCCACACACAGGGCATCAGCCGGTCATGGGTGTAGAGACAGAGGCCAGGCCAGGCATGTGTCCACTGTCTGTCAGACTTCACTAACAAAACACAAGGTCAAAGATAAAATTATTAAGAATTTCAAGACAGCTACAGGAGAGCAATAAACCAAGAGTGGGACCTTTCTGCACACAGGGCCCTGGGAGCTGAAGCTGGCCCTGGCTACTGGATGAGAGTAACAAGAGCTATGCTTTAAGAAGGCTGATCTGTTTGTAGTCAAAGTTTAAAGAAGCTTCATTAACAGTTTCAGGCAGGATGCCGCAGCAGGAAATCAGATTTTCCAAGCAAGTTTCTAGTTGCCAGATACCTTGTTGGACGTGGAGTAGTGATCCTCCGGAACAAAGAAAGTGGGGAGGAGGAATTCCCTGGCCCAGAGGAGAGACCAGACTTGTAATTGCATAATTGTGTGTGTCCGGGCTGCCCCCCTGTGCCAGGTCTCTTCCATCTTCCCCTCCAGACCCAGCCTCCACCTTTCCCACCCTCTACTCCACCCTAAGACCCTGTCTTGTATGGGTATGGCCCCCAGCACCCTTGTTCTATGACTTCTAGTTGGGTTCAGTCAACAGAGAGCCTCAAGTAAGAGAAGGGAGGGAAGACAGTGAGATATTTATCCCCCAGCCACCTCCCTGCACAGGCACCTTAGGGGGCTGTGTGACTACATGGTGTAAGTGCCCACACAGGATTTCCTCCTTCCAAATTCCAGGGTGGCACCTTCCCTTTGTGCCCAGGATGGTAACAGCCCCCGCTCCTTGGCTCCTGGTGCTGCACTCTTCCTTGCGGCTGGCCTACTCCTGCTCACAGCTTTGTAAAGAGTCCCTGACTAATGTCTTCCTCAAAATGTCCTAACTTGAATGTGCTATTTCCTTCTGGGTCCCTGACCGATGTACCCTTTGGCCTGGCAGTCCTACTTCTGGAAAGTTTTCTTATACTTAGACCTGCATAATCAGAATGACACATGTTCAAGCTAACCCACTGCAGAAAAGACTGGAAGCGTACTTGAACATCCATCATAGGCACTGATTATATAAATGGTACCAGGTTCACAGAGTAGACTCTACAGCATTTTTTTTTTAAAAAAGGAAATTCTCTTTGGTGCTGATGTAGAAAGGTCTCCCAAATGTATTTTTAAGTGGAAAAAGCAGGGGTAGTCCAGGGAATGTATATGCTCTCTCTTGTATAAAAAAGGAGGAAGATAAGAATAGATATTTGTTTTTGCTTGTGCATAATGGTGTTTTGAAAAACACACACACACAAATAAAAGTGGTTTTCTGAAGGAAGCAAGACTCTTCACTGTTTACTTTTTTGTATATTTAAAAAAACTGTTACCTGTTCAAAAGTTAAACTTAAAAAATCCGAGAGGCTGAGCTAAGCTGCCTGTGTCAACGGGATAAAGAGTCCAGCCCCTAGAAAGGCAGGGGAAGCCTGGAACCGGAAATTTCTTCCTGGTCTTCCATTGGCTTGACTTTGCCTATTTTCATCTTTGTACTTTAATTATATACTTCAGAATTTTGATCATCTAATATTGATTTCTTTTCAGATGTGAAAGTAAGGACTTACACAATAACAAAGATGCTTGTGAGCCAGAATGCCTCAGCGATTAGACCACGGAATTTGTACCCCATGGGTGAGCATTACTTTCTTTCATAGTTCTCATACGAGCAAGCAGAGAAGTACCATCACTGAGAGAGCCCTTCGGGGGGCAGCGAATTGATTTCCCTGATGAGAGGACCCAGTACGAGCCTGCACAGTGTCAAGAGCCAATAGAATGTAGATAGGAAGCCTGTGCTGATTCAATATGGGTTTCGGGGAAAACAAACAGGAATAACGTAAGACCCAGTGATGATGGGGAATATCCTCCTGTATCATTTGAAGAGTAATGTCTGTTAATGCCCTCATTCTGACCCAGGGTGCAGTTTATCACTCCAAAAATATATCTGAGAAGTGGCCAAACCCCTTATCTCCTGCCTCATTGCATCACGGGTGACTGAAAAGTCACCACTGAACTTGGGTTTCTGCACTTCATTTATTATCGATTTTTTTCTGTAGTCTTACGTCCATGCCTTTTCAGTGCCCTTTTCTTTTTTATCCTATTTCAGTATCACTGTGTCCTCTGTCCCATAGTTTGTCAGTAGGGGTCCGTGAGTGGGACCCTTCTTCCCTGTCACAACTGCCTAGGCACTGGAATGTATCCCATCCCTGGCCTCCACCTACTAAAAATGCCAGTCACCCCTCCTCCCCACTCCAGGTTCTTGTGACATTCAGAAAACAAACTGAAAAAAAACAAATGAGAAGCCCCAATTCCCACCCCAGCATGTTCCTCCGCCACCGTGGAATGTATCTTTACCTTCCAAGTGTGTTAATGAGCACCATCCTCATATCCGGAGAACTTCTGTAGACAGGTAACTGCTTCTCAGGACACTCCCCCAGCCACCCTGCATCGGAAGGGTCAGCCCCCAAACAGATCTTATTTTGGATCCACTCAGGATGAAATCCTTGGACCACTTGCTGCTAACACCAACATCAACTCTGTTAAGAAACATTTACTTGAGCATTTTTTTTAACACAATAAAATCTCCATCCAAGATAACTACACGTGTGTAGAATACCAGACTTTGAGCAACAACTGTACATTGGGCTGGGAGGGAGGAGTATCCTTTGTGTAACGTCTTTTTCTTCTTCCTAGTGTACATCAGCCTCGTGTTTGGTATTTTACATGCTTTGCCTGGTAAGAGATTTTCTTGGCTTGCTTAGATGTTATAGAAGAGCCAGGGTGCTGGGGCAACAGCTCAGGAGTCTGAAATGTGGGAAATTTGGTTTCTGATCTCAGATCTGTGGCCCACTTTTTTTGTGTACTCCTTTTTCTCAACATTTTTCTCAAATACTCTCCTTTTCTCTGTAAAAGGAGCCAAGATTAGCCAATTCTGCTTCTCACATTTGTCTCACAACTGTTGTAAGAAATTAACACTAGAGATAATTTTAAAACCCCTTAAAAGAATATTTGATTTAAAGCCCTTATAGAAGAATAAGGAGACATAGACTATGCCAAACCTAAATAATCCAGAAATAGTTTCCCTTTAATTGGCTTTCTTCTACCTGTTATCTGGTACCTGGTACCAGACCTAGGAAAATAATGTTTTTAAACTAAACTTCTTGCCTACGTACATAAATCTGCCCACAAGACTTGACTGTGCATCAAGTATGTGTCCTTGGGATGAGCACTGGGAGATGAAGAATTTGCAAGCAAGGAAGCAAAGGCCCAGGTCCTGACCAGAGGGAACAGATGACCTTAGAAACTTTAACCCTGTAAGGCAGGATTTGACAAGCATAGCTTCAGTCCCATTGGCTGCTGCCACTCGGCAGCTCTATGTAAGTCAACCTCTCAGTTCCACCCATCTGTAGAATGGGTCTATTAATAGTATCTCGTTGTGAGAATGAAATGCCTGGGCAGGGCCCGTGTGGGCCCATATTATCTCTCTCCCTCCACTCCATGCTTGGGGAATCCGTGTGGTGAGGAGTCCAGAGGAGGGAAAGCTCGCAGTGGGCTGAACTGCTTAGGGAGGACTGCGGAGTCTTTGCATTGAGAGAACGGGCCCAGGATGACCTGGATCATGTCAATAGAATGAGCCACCGAGAGTCAGTGATAATTGGGCCCAATCCTGTTAACACAGTGTCAAGTTCCTGTTTCCTGAGCCTGCCCTCGCTGACACTGTGCCGCTCATTAATTCATTGTATTAGTTCATTTCTCGTGTCCAGTGGAACCATTTCCTTACGTGTTCCCAAGACCCCAGAGCTCTTGGAAGGGCTTCTTGGCTAGAAGTTGGGCTCCCAATCCCAAGGGACAGTTTGGACAGCGGCCAAGATAGACAATCATGGGTTCTAGATTTCAGTGTTTCTTCTTTTTTTTTCCTCCTGTTCCCTTTAGATTTTCCAGGTGAACCTTGTGTTTTAAAGATGACATTACGAAATTTCCGGACAATCTTATCATGGGAATTAAAAAACCATTCAGTTGTGCCAACTCACTATACCTTTTGGTACACAATCATGAGGTTGGTTTGACATTCATTTTTCTCTTACCAAATATATTATCTTCCTGTTATGTGGAGAGTGAGAAGAGGGATCCTACTAGTGACAGAGCCTCTCTCTCTCTCTCTCTCTCTCTTTCTCTCTCTCGCTCTCTCTTTTCTTTAAAGCTTTAAAAGTCCATGGACAAAACACAAATCCACTTTTAATTAAATTGAATACTTTAGCAATCTGAAGCTATTTTTGCCAAAGCTTGTATTTATAACCAAAGCCAATTTCTAAAAGACAAAGCCTCAGAAACAACATAATTATTATGTGTGGTTTTCACAATTATTTCTCTAATCCCCTTAAGTCTAAAAGCTTAAAAGTGCTGTATTTTCTGAGAACAGGAGTCCAAAGGTCTGGTGACAGTATTGATGGCTTATGTCTGCTTTACTTAAGGAAGCATGTGACAATCAGAAAGATGCCTGGCCCAGTCAGAGAGGCCCAGGTCCAAAGTCTGTCTTGATCACCAACCAGCTGTGACCTTGGGTGCAGAGCTCAGCCTCTCTGAGCCAGTCCTCCTACTTTGGGGTTGCTGTGCAGATGAGCAACAAGATGAATGGAGCCTTCTTTGGCTCTCTTCTTCCTGCATCTAACAGTCAACTTTACAAGTCATTAGTTTGGTCCAATAGCCCCTGGGAGGATCCTTTTGTTCATTGTTTATTTGGCTTTTGGCTGTTATTACTGCTGCCTGACCCAGTAGAGGGTCTCATGAGCTTCTGTTTGCTGCTTGCTAAAGTTTTACATTTCTGTCTGCATTAGGCTGTCACCTGTATCACCTGCCTTTCTGAGGCTCAAAAGATAGATGCCTGTGTTGTCCCTAGGCTGACTTAGGACTGGACAATGCAGTCCTTAGCCTGAGAGGAAGCTGTCTTAGGGAGGGCATTCATGATTGTCCACAGAACAGGGATGCCTGGGGCATCTACCGTGAAAGCCCAGGTTCACTCATTCATTCATCCAGCAGATATTTACTGGGCACCTACTATATCCCAGGGGTCCAACCATGAACCATAAAGCCCCTTTCCTCCTGGAGCAGACATCCCCAAAGGAGGTGGAGGTATGCATAAACACATGAAGATATAATGTGGCAGGTGGCAGTAAACAGTATGAAGAAAAACAGATAAGAGGGATCTGGAGAGAGGGAAGGGTAGGGTGGGTAAGTATGTTCCGTTAAACCAGGTGGTCAGTGCCAATGACTTACTTGATACAGTGATATTTGAGCAGAGCTCTAAAGGAATGAGGAAGTAGGGCATGTAGTTAATGGATGCTTGTCACATAAATACTCAAGTTTTCCTTTTATCATTTCTTTTCCCTTCAAAGTAAACCAGAAGGTATGAAGATTGTTGAGGACTGTAGAAATATCACAAGATCATTTTGTGATGTAACAGATGTGTGGGGAAACATGCGTGAGACGTACGTCCCCAGAGTGGATGGGTTCAAGGGGAACACAACACTGGTCAGCTGCACGGGCAGTTTCTTCCTGGCAACACACAGTGAGTCCATCTCTGTTTGTCATCATCATCATCAAAATCGTCATTATTGCTTTGCCATGAAATAGGAAGGTCTGCAGAGGTGTTTCAGACTCAAGGCTGGTTTCAACTCCTGGCCCTGCTGCTTCCTAGCTCTAACTGTGAAGTAGTTACTTTGCTTCTCTCAGCCTCAGTTATCTTATCCAAAAGTGCAGTGATAATCTGGACTTACCAGATAATTACTCAATGCTTATATAAGAGCTGCATTTTCCTGAGTTGTTTACGATCTGGCAGGAAGTAGGGAGTGCCTTTCAGATGGGCTGTATCTAAACATCACAGCTCTTTGAGCCAATGTTTTCCTTAAAACTAGGATCCCTCCCCCAGATCATAATGTGATAGCTCTTCCGCGTGTGAATGCCCAGGTATGCATGTACCTGGGGCCCAGACTTAGAGAAGACTGGGACCCAAGACTGGGTCTGCCCCTTTTTCTTTCCGTATGGCTGGAGTCAGCTCTCTGTGGCACTTGTCATTGGTCCTCAGGCAGACTCCATCACTTCTTCAATGTCCTAATTTACAACCTGTTTCCAGGAGAAGATTCCATTTCAGCTCACTGTTAAAGGTTTGTGGGTGTGCACTCGCATGTACATGCTTAGCAAAGTGATCGGACAACTGAGTCTCACCTTAGCAAACAACTGAGATACTGTGAGACTCACTGGACTCATGTGTGTGTTTATGTGTGTGTGTGAATAGCCATATCTATGTCTGCATGGAAAAAAAGAAAAGCACAACTTACAAGATCATGGTATTCAGACTGTTGAAGTATCTTAAAGTAATAATGAGATATCATTTTTCAAGATTCAAAAAGGTAAATACTGAAAGTATGTCAATACCCAGGTTTAGAGGAAACGGAAGGAGTTTACTTCAGCATAGTCTTGCTAAAAGTATGTGGCAGAATGTATTAAAAACCTTAATACATGTCTGCTGTAGTTCAGAATTCCACTTTAATAATTTGTCCTAAAGAAATAATTGTGAACAAATGCAAAGATTAAGCTCCAAGAATACTACATACATTCTCTTCAGAAAAATTACAATCTAAATGATCCAAACAACAAATCAGATAAATCATGGTACAACAAACCAGCTACTTGATAGAATAGAATTAGCTCCAAAAAATTGTGATAAACATCAGGTGTCAGCCAACTTTCTGTAAAGGGCCAAAAAAGAAACACTTTAGACTTTGTGGGCCACATCTGGTCTCTGTCATGTATTCTTCATTTGTTTACAACCCTTTCAAAAATCCATTCTGAGCTTGCAGGCTATGCGAAAATCCAGTCTACAGGCCATAGTTTGTCAGCCTTGATATAGATAAATATGCATTAATATATTTATGAAATAAATTAAATGAAAAATATACCAAGCAAAACAATGTAAGAATGGCAATTTAGATGTGTGTGTGTGTACACTAGTTCAGTTTATATATGTGTATATATATTTACACACATACAAGGCATAGAGAAAAGGTGATTAACCACATTCAGGGATGGATAATTGCCCATCTGTATTTTCTGATATTTCTACAGTGGTTATGTATTATTACTGCAATATGAAAAGAAGTCATTTTTACTTTTATGTTTAGAATACAGCTTAAAAATGGGGAAAGTACTAACTTCCACCTGAAATCTGTCTCCATTTCTTGTAGGAATATTAAGCGAATCACTTCACTTTTCTTACTCGGTTTTTCACCAGTAGAAAAAATATAACCCATGTCAACTAGGATCATAGACAGATGAAACAGAACACAGCTGTAAAAATGTCAGATTGTATCATGACAGTGGGAACATCACCATTACGCAATCATTGACTGACATTGGGGTTGTTTCTGATTTTGTTTTCTAAAGTGTCTTTGGAACCACCAGAATTTGAGGTTGTTGGTTTTATTGACCACATTAATGTAACAGTGAAATTTCCACCCATCATCCCCAAGATACTAGATGGGGAAGGATTATGGTTTTACTCACCACTTGTCATCGAAGAACAGTCAGGGAGAATTGTTAAGAAGGTAAGTAGTCAAAACAATTCTGCATGGGCAATGAATACATTTGACAGTCTTTTAAAAAAACAGGCAAAATAATTTGAACAATGAAAACTAAAGGGTCTAGGTCACTGTGGTCTGACTTTAGGGAAGTAGTTCACCATCGTTCAGTTGTTATGAAGTACGTTGACTTAGCCCAGCAGTGCAGTCTTCTTTCAAAGAATAAGTCATGTGCACAGTGTCAAGGGACACCCAGAAGACAGAAGCAAGTGACATAGATGGGAGAACAAGCAAATTTCAGCACCCCAGAGTGAGATTTTTCTTTGGGGTGGTTTAGCCTCACAGAAAAAGCATCTGTCTCTACCGCTCCAGCCCTCATACACTGTAGGGAAAGTGGCTCTTTCTGGCAATTCTGTCCCCAACTGATTCCCCTGCAGGACCTACCCGCATGTCAGTAACCTCAGGGTTATCCTGGTACCAGACAGACCTGCATCTTCATTATGTTCTCTCAATCCCTCAGAATGCTGGAATGGGTGAAAATAGACAAACTTCTCACTAGTGGGACCTGCTGTTACAGCAGCTTACACTTGTATAGCCCTTTGCCAATTAGAAAACCCTTGCAAGTAGTACCAGTCTGCAAAATATCAAGGGAAGAGCATTTTTAAGCAGAGGGCACAGGAAGTTAGAGTTCCTGAGGCTGGAGTGGGACCACTGGGTTTAAGAAACAGCAGGAGCTGGAATTGGGTGACCAAGACAGGAGAATGGAAGGAGGTGAGGTCAGGGAGGTAATGCGAACAATCTTGTAGGACTCTGGGGGTCTGAGTCTTTGGGGTGGGGTGGAAGCCCGTGGAGGACCCAAGGCTTTATAGGGCATCCTGGTTGGTGTGTTAGGAATAGATCATAAGGGCCAAATGCTAAAGTTGGGAGACCAGTGGAGAGGCTTTGGGAATGGTAAGTACTCAATAGGACATAACAAATTATATAATTATTATATTTTTCCTTTAATGTCCACCTGGCTTATAATCAACATCCTAATCCTTTGATAAGGAAAAGGGAGCAAAAATAAGAGAGGAAAAAATAAGCTTATGTAACTCAGAGACTGCTATTTCAATAAATATATTCCATTCATATCTAATTTATATTCAACCATGAGCTACTAACTCTGTTTAAGATTGTGATTTCCAAGATAAGAGATCTATGCTTATTAGGATATTGACAACACTATAAGCATAATAATTACTCTTTAAATTAGATGACATAACAAATTATATAATTATTATATTTTTCCTTTAATGTCCACCTGGCTTATAATCAACATCCTAATCCTTTGATAAGGAAAAGGGAGCAAAAATAAGAGAGGAAAAAATAAGCTTATGTAACTCAGAGACTGCTATTTCATTAAATATATTCCATTCATATCTAATTTATATTCAACCATGAGCTACTAACTCTGTTTAAGATTGTGATTTCCAAGATAAGAGATCTATGCTTATTAGGATATTGACAACACTATAAGCATAATAATTACTCTTTAAATTAGATGAAAGGGAAAAAGGCTACTATTGTCAACCAGGTGACAGATGGTTGTGTGGCTTGGACCGCTTGGCAGAAATGAGAAGTGGTCAAACTTGGCATCTATCTTGCAAGTGGAGCCAGCAGTATATTTGGATGGATTGGATACGCGGGGGTGGGAAGAAAGAGAAGTTAGGACTCCAGCACTTGTAGCACAAGCACCTGGCTAGACAGAATTACCCTTAATTAAAATGGGGAAGGTTATGCATGCAGCAGGGGGAGCTTGGCTTTTTACATGTTAGATTTGAAGTACCTATAAGGCATGTAGGAGGTGATGGGCAGGAGTTGAATGTACCAAGTCTATAGAGTTCAGGGGAGTGCTCCCAGCTTGAGAGATGTCCTGGGGAGCCATTTGCTTCTTGGTGTGTATTAATACCTTGAGACCAGGTGAGATACCCAGAGTGGACATGCAGGGAGAAGAGAAGACATCCAGGGATGGAGCCACAGAAGACTCCAAAATGTGGTCAAATAGCAAAAGACACTGAGAAGGAACAACCAGCATAGCAGGAGAACTAGGTGAGAGTGATGTCCTGGTGAAAGAAGGAAGTTCGAGAAGGAGAGAGTACTCAACTAAGTCAGTGCTATAAATGGAACAAGTTAGAAGAGGACTACATGACTTGAGTATTGGATTTAACAGCATGGAAGTTTTTGGTGGAGTGATTTGGCTCAAGACCTAGGGGGAGTGGATTCAGGAAAAAGAAAGAAGAGAGAAATTGGAGACACTGAGGAGAGCTCATTCTTCCAAGTATTTTTTCTATAAAAAGAAAGTGAGATACACTATGCTGGCTGGAGGGTAAAATGGAGTCAAGGAGAAACTTTTTAAGGTGGGAGCGATTACAGGCTGTTGGGATGCAGATGGAATGTTCCAAGGGGGATTAGTGGGGTAAAGCCTAGGGGAGATGAGTAGAGGAATTCCTGAGTTGGGGAAGGGGTTGGCCTTGGCTCAGAGCAGGGCCTGTGCATGCAAGTCACAGCAGGGGAGGCAGAGTGCAGGGAGGGCACCAAGGTGAGCAGGAAGGAGCTTCCATTTGCTGGGTAGAACAGGAAGCAAGCATGGCAGACTCAACCCACCTCACACAATGGCAGCACCAAATGTGGGGCCCAGATGTTCTGACTCTCAGCTGCCACTGTGCTTTTCCACCATGAGGCGGGAGCCCTCCTCCCTTGACACTGTTCCTGCTCTGTCTCCTTTTTCTTCTTCATTGATTATTTGCTGTGCAGCAGCTTTCACTTGGTTGGTTGGTTGGTTGGTTGGTTGGTTGGTTGGTTGGTTGGTTGGTTGGTTGGTTGGTTGGTTGGTTGCTTGGTTGCTTGGTTGGTTGATTGCTTGGTTGGTTGGTTGCTTGGTTGGTTGATTGCTTGGTTGGTTGGTTGGTTGGTTGGTTGGTTGGTTGGTTGGTTGGTTGGTTGGTTTGGATGGTTAGTTGGTTGGCTGGTTGGTTGGTTTTTTTAATGATTCCAAATAGAAACTTGCAGAAAAATATTATTACAGAAGGCTGTATTTGAACTGCTGGATATCCTAACTTATAAAACTGCTAGTAAGAATGTATTTTGAAAACTGAAACATTATACAAAAGTTGTGTATGCAAGAACCTTTATTTCATCTCTTTAATTCCAAAATGGAACAGAGCTACCTGGGAAAGAAGAGGCCAGGTGTTTTACAGGAACACACGAGGAAGTAGACAGCCCCTCACTTCTGCCACAGACAAGCTGCGTGGCCTTGAGAAAGATACTTAATCCCACTAAGCTGCAGTTTCCTCCTCTGGAGAATGGAGATAATGCCTGTTGTGCAGATTGTTTTGATAATCAAATGAGTTAATATGTATGAAAGCTCTTTCTGAAGCATAAAATGGGCACATACCATTAATGAAATAAAATAATCTTTTTTATTCTCTTATTTTTGCAAGATTATCTAATTGTCAGATAATCTTGCAAAAGGACACCATGGAGACCTTTACCCCTCAGTAGGATTATTCCTCCTCATTTGTGAAATGAAGATGCTGGACTAGATTTCATGGTTTAAAATGTGGGAGTGGGTACATGTACCTGTAGTTTTGTGATAAATTGCCTGTCCCAATGACTTGTAATACTTTACCTTGCCAAGCGGGGGCTATTTCTATCCCTGCTTAAGATCTGAAGACAAACTCTCAAGAGATTTTCAGGGCCTGCCTTTAAATGACATTCTCACTCCGAGTCTTACTCATTTTTTGTTTATTTTTACAGCATAAACCCAAAATAAATGAAAACGTCACTGGAGATTTCACTTATGTCATCGACAAATTAATTCCAAACACGAACTACTGTGTGTCTGTTTATTTAGAGCCTACAGATCTGAGAGCAATAAATAGATCTCCCTTAAAATGTACCCTGCTTCAACCTAGGCAGCAATCAGGTATGACAGTTTTTGAAAATTTGTATCTTACTGTTACTCTGAGGGAAAACCTAGTAAAGAAAAGAATCTGAAAGTCACAGAGCACTAAAGGTATTTCTTCCATTGAAGGCGCATCGCAGAGATGTTTTCTATTGGTTCAGCGTCTACCGTATGTGGAGTCACTTTTATGTTGCCGTGTCATAGGGACAATCAGATATCAACCTTTATAAGGTCAGGTCCTCCTGAAGTGGAAATGCTTTTATTTCAGGGAGCCCAGATGAAATCGCATTCGGTGTGCCCTTAGCTTGGCCATTCTCCGAGCCAAGTGCTGGCAGCCACGGCACCAGCAGTGTCCTGGTGAACCAGTGCACCCAGCCAGGTTGCTGTGGTTGGCTGATGTGACCTAGCTCTCAGGAAGGTTTACAGAAGCTCATAGATGGCAGTGAAATTCCAGCATGGATGGATAATCAGTGACAAAGGCCAAACGGAAGCTTCTGCTGCAAAGGCATCAGAACAGTAAACCTCACAATCCCCAAACCCTCCTCCAAATGGAGAAATTCACAGTGAGGACAGACAGTCTTAGGAGCAGTCACTGCTGATTGATTATCTCAGGAAGTGAGTAACTAGGTCTCCAACTTTTTTGTCAGAAGTAAACAGAATCTATGAAAATGTCCGCCAGAGAAGCCTTTCTGAATTTCACAACCCCAAATGAGAGTTTATTTCATGCCCTGATTTACCAGAGTGAAAATGAGATAAGGCGAGAGCATAAGGAGGTGAGTGGAGTAGTGGTATGGCTTCCTTGCTGGTTAAGTGAACTACCCTGACCAGTGCCTGGCGCACACAGGTGCTCAGTGTGACCTCGTGCTCCAGTGTTCCTCAGAGTTGAACGATGCACAGACCAATTTGAAAGGAAAGTATCTTAAGACTTGAGCTTCAGTTGCTTTTATAGCGTCAGGTAAATATAGGCAAACCCAAAAGTACAAGTGGATTCTTTATGCCTAGAGCTCTTACAGAAAATGTAAACCCAAAACAAATTGACATTTATGTTCTAACTCCAGTTCTCTGACATCAACCAGGCATCCGGTGGTTCAATTCATTTCTGACACAACCCACCTGGAGTTAGCATAGACCGCACAGGTTAAGGGCTTCAGTCCCACAAGACTGTCCCCACATCAGGGGCCAGCCATGGGTCCTTGGTCTCCAGGCCACCCAAACTTCTGTCCATCTTGGCTACATATCCAGAGGTTCCCCAGGACCTCCCTTCAGATTTAGTAATTAGCTAGAATGACTTACAGAACTCAGGAAAATGCTGTACTCACGATTACTGTTTTATTATAAAGGATACAAGTGAACAGACACGTAGACTGAAGGGTCCTGAGTGCAGGAGCTTCTGTCCCCTGAGTGTCCTCCCAACACTTCAGTTGTGTTCACTGACCCAGAAGCTCCCCCAAGCCTTGCTGTCCAGAATTTTTATTGGGTTTGATTATGTAGGTAGGGATGATCAATCAAATCCTTGAATCGTTGGCCATTGGGGCTTAACTCAATCTCTGAGGCCCCTCTCCCCTCCCTGGAGGTCAGGGGGTGGGGCCAGAAGTTCCCTGCTACTCTGTGCTCCTGCCCAGGCCCACCCCGGAGTGTCTAGCCCTCCTCGCATGAGTCACCTTGTTATGGTCCCTCAAAGACACTCCTGTCACTCAGGAAATTGCAAGCGTTTTTGAAGTTCTGTGCCAAGAGCAAGGGATAAAGGCCAGATTTCTTATTCTTACAATTTCTATTATATCATGACCTTATAAACAAAATTGCAAAACCAACTGAATAGAGTTTTCTCCTCTACTCCAAAGTGTGGGGTTTTTCCCCTCACCAAGCGATTCTCTGATACCAGCTCAAGAGTCTTACAATTTAACTCAATTCTGATTTTGTCTACCTAGAGGTAGCATCAGATACTGCAGGTTAAGGGCTCTGTCCCACAAGACTGCCCCTTAGCACCATTTCAAATGTCAGGTGCAGGTCCCCCTGGCCTTCCAAGACCAACCAGCTATAAATCAGAGATTCCTACACCCCCTTTCTCCAGATAATTTGCTAGAATGGCTCACAGAACTCAGGAAGACAGTTTACTTACTAGATTCCTGGTTTATTATAAAAAGACACAACTCAAGAACAGCCAGGTAAGAGATACACAGGGCAAGGTGTGGGGAAAGGGCAGGGACTTCCATGCCCTTCTCTCCAGACATGCCACCTTCCCAGTGCCGCCATGTGTTCACCAACCTGGAAGCTCTCCAGACCCTGCCCTGGGTTTTTAGGAGGCTTCACTACATAGGCATGACTGATATAATCCTTGGTGGTTGGCAATTAATTCAACCTCACTTCCCCAGCAGCCAAGGGGTGGAACTGAAAGTTCATGGTTCCCACCCCCTAATCACCTGGTTGGTTCCCCTGACAGCCAGCCCCCATCCTTAGGGGCTTTCCAGAAGTCACCTCTTTAGTAGAAACTCAAGTGCAGTTGAAAGGGGCTTGTTATGAACAACAAAAGACACTCCTTCACCTTCCTTGTTTTCTCTTATCACTCAGGAAGTTCTACAAGTTTTCAGAGCTCAATGCCAATAATTGGGGACAAGACCAAACATGTATTTCTTATTATAAATCACAGTATCACACCAATAAAGACTCAAATTACTAATATAACGTGATGGGTTTGGCGAAACTCAGTCCCCACTTAGAAAGTGGATGTAAGGCTGACCTATTTTTGGGGGGTGGACATGCTCTGTAATGATTCCATTTCTCCCTTGACTTCTCTCTGTTTTACTTGCTAAGAAATGGTCCTGCCACAGCATGCTATCCTGTCATTTCATCTTTTCTGGGTGTGACACATCACTTTGCATATTAAGTCAGCCTCCATTCTTTTATCATTGCGCACTCTTTATTAAACTGATGCCCCAATTTTTACTGTCTCAAACTCAGGAACCAATGTTCAGATAACATTTCACTGTCTACGCTTGCTATCCGAACTACCCGTCCCTAGCCACACTTGGAAACCAGACAGGTTTGGATGGTGAGAGATTCTTGAGAAGCCCCTGGGACCAGTGTTAACTTGGACTCAGTAGTGAACACTGTTATCTTAGGGCAGCACTGATACGGGGAACTTTTAGTCCGGTGATCTGGAAAAATGCCCTTTCCTTCTGTGAAGTCCTAAATTAACTGGTTGGCTCTTTTGAAAAGGCCTGGAGGAAAAGCTGTGTTCACTCATGCCTTTAACAAATATTTACTACAGACCTACTATTAGCCATATTCTCTTGGAATCTTATACTGGGGGTATAGCAATGAACAAAACATAAAAATTTGTGACCTTGTGGAGCTTACATTGCAATAAGGAGATGGAAAAACAAGATTTTAAAAAGTAAAAATATATAGTATGGTAAGTGTAAGTGCTATGGAGAAAAAATATGCAGGGAGCAGGTAGGGGCAATGTCAGGTAGAGGGTGGCAGGTGTCTGTTTTAAATAGCATGCTGCCTTGTTTTACGTTCCATAGAAGCAGATCCTAAAGTAGACATTCTGATTCACGTGATTTCCTGGGGGCCGAAGAGTGGGGAACACACCTGGGTCAGAATCCCATGACATCACGGCTGCTCCAAAGGAGTCAGTTTAGTTCACAGAATCCTTTTCAGGAATGTAAACTTATGTGTAAGAATTTTGTGACATAAAGCTGTGCCTTTGTGGCTGGGTCTGATTCTAAAACTGTTGTTGATATGACCCTCCTTCATTCACTCTTGACGGAAACGAGAATGGGCTCATGAATCTTCTGCCATCTAACAGTCTTCACCGAGTTTCCTTCTGTTCGTTCTTCAACTTACTGACAGACTTTTTAAATGTATAATCCATGTTTATTTTCCTTTTTTCTCTCCTGTGTCTGTTTTGCCTGAGGCTGTGGGTTACAGAATTAATATTAATAAAGGTCTTTCTGGAAATTGGAGAGAGCCTTAGTTATGTAACTACTGATTTCTTCTAAGTCCAAAAGTTAGACTTCTGGAGACCTGTTTTCAGTCAGAAGGTTGAAATGTTCCAAAAGGAATTTTGACAAGAAACTAAAGGGAACTCATAATAAGACAAAGTGAGTTCTGCAGAGCCTGGTTTGGGGTCCTGGCATGGCCAGAGTCCACCTCTGCATGACCCAGTTGGGTATTTTTTTCAGGCAAATACTCCTTTCCTACCTCCTCCTTGCTGTGCCTGCTGTTAAGTAACAAAAATTCAACTGAGTAAATTTTAAAGATCTAATTGGCTTTATTGAATGATTCATGAATCAGTCAGCATCTCATCTAGCAGGTAAAGGGAAAATTGCCCCTACAGAAAGGGGAAAGTTTTTCAAGCCAGCATAAGGAAGTCATCAACAAAAAGACAGTATTATTTTGGGCAAGGTCACTTCTCTTTGGGTGACAAAGGTCATTAGGTGGTTTATGTCACCAGTGCTGCCCAGGAAATTCCAGGCTGACTGCTTAAGATTACATACCTGGGGAAGGTTGACTCTGCCTTTAGGTGGGCATCAAGCTCAGGTTTGGTGACGTGGATTTAGCACAGGCGACTCCATTTTGGGCCTGAGGTCTTTTTTAAGAATACTGACGTGTGGCTAGTGGGCATTTTGGATGTGGCTAATGTGACTGAGAAACTTTTTCTCTTTCAATTTTAAATAGTCTCATGTGGTGAATGGCTACCATATGGGACATAGTGGTCATAAGGCATAATTATAAACTGAAAGAAATTTTACTTTTAAAAACTACATCTGTCATTTTTATCATTTTAAAGAAATGTGTCCAGTTCACCCTTGAGCAATGCAGGGGTTAGGGGCACTGACACCCTGTACAGTCAAAAATCTACTTATAACTTTTGACTCCCCCAAAACTTAACTACTAATAGCCTACTCTTGACCAGAAGCCTTATCGGTAACACAAACTGTCAATTAGTACATATTTTATATGTTATATGGATCATATACTGAGTTCGCACAATAAAGTAAGCTAGAGAGAAGAAACTTATTAAGAAAATCATAAGGAAGAGAAAATAAATTTACAGTACTGCACTGTAATTACTGAAAACAATCCCTGTGTAAGTGTACCTGTGCAGTTCAAACCTGGGGTGTTCAGGGGTCAACTGTGCTTGGATTACTTCACTTTTTTTTTTTCAACTTTGCTCCCTTGATATCTCCTTCCACCACTTCACCAATGCGCATTTATTCCCAACTGCAAGTACTTATTGGATTTATTTCGAAATAAAGTCATTTGATTTTTCATCAACAGGGACATCAGAATCTGCCAAAATAGGAGGAATAATCACTATGTTTTTAATAGCAGCTGTTATCACAAGCACCATAATAACAATGAAACGGATTGGTTATATATGCTTAAGAAGCGATTTCCCCAAAGTTTTGGTATGTCGCTTTCTTCTATTTTTACCCTTATTTTTTATTTTAAGAATTTTTTTTTACATACTTAGGTATTTTCAAAGAAGAAAAGTCCCATTTTCTAAAAACCAAAGTGGTTTATCATTCTAGTTTATTTTCTATCCCTATAAATATACATTTGCATTTTATGTTTCCTTTTTATCCTTTGTCCACATATTTTTAATGGTCATGTATTCCATTGTTGTTAATGTGCTATTGTTTCCTTAATCATTTCCCAACTGTAGGGTTGTTTGAATGGATTTCTTTTTCCTTGCTTTTCCATCTTTCTTTGACCATTACAAATAATGCATTAAACGCTTTTATAAAGATCGTCCTTTACTTTGGATTACTGCAGTGAACATATACACAAGGAGGATTTTTGTTGTAAAAAGATAAACAACTAACTTGTAATGCCAGTGGTGACATCTAGGTATTCACATTTCTCTGAAGCTTTGCTGACATGGATTAATCATTTTTACTACTTTTGTTCATTTGTCATGTGTACAAAGGTCCCCCGTTGCTCTCATCTGTGCTACCTTAATAACTAGTGAAACCAGCCACTTTGCTTGTCTCTGTGCAACCGAGATGTACACTTTCTGCTCAGAGCCTTTGACACTTAGCCAGGCCTGGGTATTTCTAAACCTCCTCGTGTCTTTTGACTTAACTATGTTTATCCATCATTTGTCATTCTCCCAATCTCATTTCTTTCTTTCTATATTAGTCTTGTAATTTTCCACTCACACGTATCTTATTTTCTATGTTTGAACCCATTCACCTTTTCTTCTCATTTTTTAACAGCCACATGTTTAAATATTCTCCCACAGTTGATAAAACTGTACTCTCTTTTTCTTGTTGCTTTTATTTGTTTGGGTTGGGTTAGGGAGGGGATTGTTCATCGGGTGGTATGTGTATACTTTTGGAGATTTTAGTATATAATTAGTACTTGAACCTAGCCGTCACTTGGCTCTGCTTTGTGAAATACAAATGTCTCTGTGTTGGCTTCCATCCACACTGTGGCCATCTTGCAAGAATGGACATTTTTGTATCCATCAGTGTCAGCCTCTACTTTTAGCTTTAGCCTCAGCCTTCACTCCAGTCCTGCTGTCTGCCATGAGCTGCTTTGCCCAAGGGGTCTCAGGTAAATCCTACCCCAACTCACATTTCTCACTATCGCCTTGAGATGTAAAGGCCTTTACCTTAGGACCACACTTATCTCCTCCTAGACCAATCTTCTGCCTGAATTACCTAAACTGGTGACTAATTCTCCTGCCGGGTCTCCTTGGGATTCCTCCCCTCCCTACGATGCCCTCAAATTACATGCCAATTGTATATGGCATATAATGTATAATATAATATGCCTGTTGTGATAATCCAAATAATGGGGGGAGATGTTGTTATCTTGTATCTGTCCAATATTTCTCCATTTAAAATTATCCATTGTTTAAATAAAACTCCAGAAATAGTAAAACAGAACACTCTAGGCCTAGTGCATTTGCATATGTGTATTTAATTAAGATGAGATGTTAAAAATTTTAAATGGCATCTTTTCTTATCTTGTCCTTTGTCATCATTGTCTTCTGCTGCTGTTTCTGTGTGTTTCACAAGTATTTATTGAGGATCTATGTGTCCACATGTTCTAGGTGTTGGGCATATAGAAGTGAACAAAAACAAAAAACCCTGCCCTTATGGAGCTTACCATCTGAAGAGTCAGGGTAGAGACCACGATAATTTATAGATGATATGACTGGCTAAGTAAAAAAAGTCACAGGAATCTAGAGATGAATTACTAGGATTACTAAGTTTAGCTAAGTTGTTACATACAAAATAATCACTATAAAAATGCTTGCATTTTTATACACTAGCAACAATCAACTATAAAATAACCATGAAGCTGCTTTTCAACATCTAAGAAATTAAGTATACAAATCACAGTGTAAAACTCTGTGAATTTTCACAAACTCAATGCACCCCTGTAACTCATGCCCAGATCATGAAAGAGACTATGACCAGCCTCCCTGGAAGTGCCTCTCGCCCTCTTCTAGTTACTCCCCACCACCAAGGGAAACCCCTATCACAATTGCTAACAACGTGGATTCGAATTTGGAATCATACAACTTAAAAAAAAAAAAACCATTACAGTAGAAACATACTTTTTAAATGTATTTTAAATGGCCAGAGTTATTTATTAAAATTATTAAATATGAAAATATTTTTAAATATTTAAAGAAGGAATCTAACAGATATTATAAGCCCTTTGTGGAGAAAATGATCAAACCTTATTGCAAGTCATTAACAAAGATCTAGTCAAATGGGGAGCCCAAAAGCCGACCCATACATATGAAACATGTCTAAAGATTGGTAGAAATTACAGGGGAAAGGACTGACTGGTCAATAAATGTTATCTATATGAGAAAAAATGAAATTGGGCCCCTACCTCACACCATACACAACATCAGTTCCCAGTGTATTAAAAGAATATACTGTGAAAGGCAAACCTGTTAATATTTTAGAAGGCAACGTAGGATTTTCTATATGACTTTGGGGTAAGGACATTCTTTCAGACACAAAAAGGAAAACCACAAAAGAAGAAAATTAATATATTTTCTTACCTTAAAATTAAGAATTTCTTTTCCTCAAATGTCATCATAAGGAGGATAAAATGATAAAACAAGACCAGGGGAAAACATCTAATGTAAGTAATAAACAAATAATTAGCATCCAGATTATATAAAGAGGTCCAATGAACCAATAAAGGAAAAAGGTAGGCAACCTAATAGATTCAGCCAAAGGCTGGGTCAGGGCAGAGTAGGGCAAGAGCAGGTTTGTCCATTTGGGCAGCCCAGGCAGGCATAGGGGAACAGAGGAGGAGGAGGATGCTGACATTCCAGGTCTGTGAAAGACATCCCTTGACCATTCACCCCACAGTCAACCTGGAGGCAGGACCCACCAACAGAACAAAACTCAGCCTGCCTCGTATTCTCTTTACTCTCCTTCCGCACTGTGTCCTGGAAGTATTTTCTTCCAAAGACTGGTCTCAGTCTCCCACCCCCCTCATCTCTGATCCTTTAGGCATCATCTGTTTCTGCAGTCCAGGGAGTTTGACTCCAATGGAATCAGCTCACTAGAGTATCTCCTCACCCATAGTTCCTTGACATCCCTTAAGAATGTCTTGGCAATGCAGAATTGAAATCTGTCTAGCCTAAATGGACACATTCCCCAGATGTTCCAGAAACAGTGAGGAGAGAGAATAAAGAAGGAGAGGGTTAAGTGTACCTGTGCAGTTCAAACCTGGGGTGTTCAGGGGTCAACTGTGCTTGGATTACTTCACTTTTTTTTTTTCAACTTTGCTCCCTTGATATGTCCTTCCACCACTTCACCAATGCGCATTTATTCCCAACTGCAAGTACTTATTGGATTTATTTCGAAATAAAGTCATTTGATTTTTCATCAACAGGGACATCAGAATCTGCCAAAATAGGAGGAATAATCACTATGTTTTTAATAGCAGCTGTTGTCACAAGCACCATAATAACAATGAAACGGATTGGTTATATATGCTTAAGAAGCGATTTCCCCAAAGTTTTGGTATGTCGCTTTCTTCTATTTTTACCCTTATTTTTTATTTTAAGAATTTTTTTTTACATACTTAGGTATTTTCAAAGAAGAAAAGTCCCATTTTCTAAAAACCAAAGTGGTTTATCATTCTAGTTTATTTTCTATCCCTATAAATATACATTTGCATTTTATGTTTCCTTTTTATCCTTTGTCCACATATTTTTAATGGTCATGTATTCCATTGTTGTTAATGTGCTATTGTTTCCTTAATCATTTCCCAACTGTAGGGTTATTTGAATGGATTTCTTTTTCCTTGCTTTTCCATCTTTCTTTGACCATTACAAATAATGCATTAAACGCTTTTATAAAGATCGTCCTTTACTTTGGATTACTGCAGTGAACATATACACAAGGAGGATTTTTGTTGTAAAAAGATAAACAACTAACTTGTAATGCCAGTGGTGACATCTAGGTATTCACATTTCTCTGAAGCTTTGCTGACATGGATTAATCATTTTTACTACTTTTGTTCATTTGTCATGTGTACAAAGGTCCCCCGTTGCTCTCATCTGTGCTACCTTAATAACTAGTGAAACCAGCCACTTTGCTTGTCTCTGTGCAACCGAGACGTACACTTTCTGCTCAGAGCCTTTGACACTTAGCCAGGCCTGGGTATTTCTAAACCTCCTCGTGTCTTTTGACTTAACTATGTTTATCCATCATTTGTCATTTTCCCAATCTCATTTCTTTCTTTCTATATTAGTCTTGTAATTTTCCACTCACACGTATCTTATTTTCTATGTTTGAACCCATTCACCTTTTCTTCTCATTTTTTAACAGCCACATGTTTAAATATTCTCCCACAGTTGATAAAACTGTACTCTCTTTTTCTTGTTGCTTTTATTTGTTTGGGTTGGGTTAGGGAGGGGATTGTTCATCGGGTGGTATGTGTATACTTTTGGAGATTTTAGTATATAATTAGTACTTGAACCTAGCCGTCACTTGGCTCTGCTTTGTGAAATACAAATGTCTCTGTGTTGGCTTCCATCCACACTGTGGCCATCTTGCAAGAATGGACATTTTTGTATCCATCAGTGTCAGCCTCTACTTTTAGCTTTAGCCTCAGCCTTCACTCCAGTCCTGCTGTCTGCCATGAGCTGCTTTGCCCAAGGGGTCTCAGGTAAATCCTACCCCAACTCACATTTCTCACTATCGCCTTGAGATGTAAAGGCCTTTACCTTAGGACCACACTTATCTCCTCCTAGACCAATCTTCTGCCTGAATTACCTAAACTGGTGACTAATTCTCCTGCCGGGTCTCCTTGGGATTCCTCCCCTCCCTACGATGCCCTCAAATTACATGCCAGTTGTATATGGCATATAATGTATAATATAGTATGCCTGTTGTGATAATCCAAATAATGGGGGGAGATGTTGTTATCTTGTATCTGTCCAATATTTCTCCATTTAAAATTATCCATTGTTTAAATAAAACTCTAGAAATAGTAAAACAGAACACTCTAGGCCTAGTGCATTTGCATATGTGTATTTAATTAAGATGAGATGTTAAAAATTTTAAATGGCATCTTTTCTTATCTTGTCCTTTGTCATCATTGTCTTCTGCTGCTGTTTCTGTGTGCTTCACAAGTATTTATTGAGGATCTATGTGTCCACATGTTCTAGGTGTTGGGCATATAGAAGTGAACAAAAACAAAAAACCCTGCCCTTATGGAGCTTACCATCTGAAGAGTCAGGGTAGAGACCACGATAATTTATAGATGATATGACTGGCTAAGTAAAAAAAGTCACAGGAATCTAGAGATGAATTACTAGGATTACTAAGTTTAGCTAAGTTGTTACATACAAAATAATCACTATAAAAATGCTTGCATTTTTATACACTAGCAACAATCAACTATAAAATAACCATGAAGCTGCTTTTCAACATCTAAGAAATTAAGTATACAAATCACAGTGTAAAGCTCTGTGAATTTTCACAAACTCAATGCACCCCTGTAACTCATGCCCAGATCATGAAAGAGACTATGACCAGCCTCCCTGGAAGTGCCTCTCGCCCTCTTCTAGTTACTCCCCACCACCAAGGGAAACCCCTATCACAATTGCTAACAACGTGGATTCGAATTTGGAATCATACAACTTAAAAAAAAAAAAACCATTACAGTAGAAACATACTTTTTAAATGTATTTTAAATGGCCAGAGTTATTTATTAAAATTATTAAATATGAAAATATTTTTAAATATTTAAAGAAGGAATCTAACAGATATTATAAGCCCTTTGTGGAGAAAATGATCAAACCTTATTGCAAGTCATTAACAAAGATCTAGTCAAATGGGGAGCCCAAAAGCCGACCCATACATATGAAACATGTCTAAAGATTGGTAGAAATTACAGGGGAAAGGACTGACTGGTCAATAAATGTTATCTATATGAGAAAAAATGAAATTGGGCCCCTACCTCACACCATACACAACATCAGTTCCCAGTGTATTAAAAGAATATACTGTGAAAGGCAAACCTGTTAATATTTTAGAAGGCAACGTAGGATTTTCTATATGACTTTGGGGTAAGGACATTCTTTCAGACACAAAAAGGAAAACCACAAAAGAAGAAAATTAATATATTTTCTTACCTTAAAATTAAGAATTTCTTTTCCTCAAATGTCATCATAAGGAGGATAAAATGATAAAACAAGACCAGGGGAAAACATCTAATGTAAGTAATAAACAAATAATTAGCATCCAGATTATATAAAGAGGTCCAATGAACCAATAAAGGAAAAAGGTAGGCAACCTAATAGGTTCAGCCAAAGGCTGGGTCAGGGCAGAGTAGGGCAAGAGCAGGTTTGTCCATTTGGGCAGCCCAGGCAGGCATAGGGGAACAGAGGAGGAGGAGGATGCTGACATTCCAGGTCTGTGAAAGACATCCCTTGACCATTCACCCCACAGTCAACCTGGAGGCAGGACCCACCAACAGAACAAAACTCAGCCTGCCTCGTATTCTCTTTACTCTCCTTCCGCACTGTGTCCTGGAAGTATTTTCTTCCAAAGACTGGTCTCAGTCTCCCACCCCCCTCATCTCTGATCCTTTAGGCATCATCTGTTTCTGCAGTCCAGGGAGTTTGACTCCAATGGAATCAGCTCACTAGAGTATCTCCTCACCCATAGTTCCTTGACATCCCTTAAGAATGTCTTGGCAATGCAGAATTGAAATCTGTCTAGCCTAAATGGACACATTCCCCAGATGTTCCAGAAACAGTGAGGAGAGAGAATAAAGAAGGAGAGGGCCAGAACATAGTCTGTGCTGTGGACAAATGGCCCAGTTTGAAATCCAGCCTCTATCCCTCACTGTACATGAACCTTGAGCAAGTTTCTTAATATCTGCACCTCATTTTCTCATCTATAAAGTGGAGACAAAATAAGTAAGCCTACTTAGAGCAGCTGTGAGGGTAAAACAAATTATAACACGTGTAAAGTACTGAGAGCAGTGCTGGGCCAACAGCGAACACTGTTTAATAGTTAGCTAGCTATTGTTATCATCACCACCATCCTCATTACCATGCAGTGAATCTCATTCAAGGTTTATTATGTCAAAAAATAAAGACTAAACCATCAGAATTGATAGACTTTTCTTTGTTTACAGAATTTCTGTAACAGGTCGGGCTGGGTATTTCCTGAGCTGCCACCACTGGAAGCTGTGGCTATAGCAGAGGTCATTCATATTAACAGAAAGAAGAGAGTGTGGGATTATAATTATGATGAAAGTGACAGCGATAACGAAGCAGCCCCCCGGACAAGTGCAGGCGGTTATACCATGCACGGCCTAATAGGCAGGCCTCTGTGTCCAGCCTCCACCTCCGCAGCCCCCTCAGAGGATTGCATCGACTCAGATGCTGAGGAACCTGGCCTGCCTGAGCCCGACGCTGACACTGAGCCCCTCATGGCCCCAGGGCCGAGCCCGTGGCAGTCAGAATGCACAAGTGAGGCGTACAGGGGGAGAGGCAGTCTGCTGCAGGACCCCTTTTCCGAGGAGGATGGCAGCTCCACTGAGGGGTCTGGGGACAGAATTGCCTTCAACGTGGATTTAAACTCCGTGTTTGTGAGGGTTCTTGATGACGACTCAGAAGTCCCTGCAATGTTATCATTTCCAGAAGAGACAGTCTACCTGGAGGGTCCCGATGAAATGGATCTTGATGAAGCAGAAAGCCTTCTGGTGGCTAGTGGAGACAGGACACAGCCACCCTTCCCTGGCCCCGCTGCAGAGTGCCTGTGGCCTGAAGATGCTTCTTCCAATAAAAGCGACACTTCTGAGTCAGATGTTGACATTGGGGATGGTTATATAATGAGATGAAGCCAAAAACATTTAATGAATTTGGACTGACAGTACCTCCAAGGGTCTCCCTCTTTGCACTGTCACCTGCTCCTTTGTGGTCTGCAGTGTTCTCTGGGCCAGGAGTTGGAGACTGTAGTCCGCTCGGGGTTCCTGGTGATGTCACTGATGTACATTCCCAGTGGGGTGGAAGGGAGTTGGGAAGTGTGGTACTTTATCATAAAATCACCCAGTGCTTTGTTTACATGTTCAAAGTGCTATACTTTGAAGGGAAAATGCCCTGCCAGCTCCCTTTACTCTTGGGCATTTATAATGTTTCTATACCATGTTTCCCAGAGTAAGGAGCAAGGCTCCCTGTGGTTTCCAGGGATGGGCCAGGGCCCTGTAAGATTTCTGGGAAACAATTAAATTGGGCCAAGGTGGAAGTGGGAAAAGAAAAGGAAGACACCAAGGGTTCATGGCAGCAGCATTCAGCAGTGCTGAGCCTAGCAGGCTCAAGGAAGGAGCTGGAAAGCAGGCAGGAAAGGAAGAGGGAGGGAGGGCAACCCGGGGAAAGGAAAGAGACACAGAGGAAATGGAAGCACATGCTCTGAGCTGGAACCTGAGATCCAGCCAAATCTTGGGCACTTCCTAGATATCATATTCTGTCGTTAGAATTGGATTCTCAGCCCCTTGATTTTAGTGAGGAAGACAGATTGCACACACAAGTAACTCTAGTCACAAGCAGGTAACTAAAAGGAAACATTTGCATGAAGGAGAAGGCTAGAATGTCAATAATCATATTTTAAGATTTTTAAGTAAGTGAGAGAACAAAATGCAAAAATGCTTCAAAGTTTTCAGAAGAAATGTCTACAGATCCTTTTTAATAATTTAAGAAATGCTGTGTGCGCTGATTCCAAATGTCCTATGTGTGACAACAGTTCCTGTGAATGGGGCTGAAAGGGGAGAAGAAACATTCTAGAATATGATGTAGCAAACATGACGAGATCTGACTCTGCTGACATTTCACTGTGTGGTCCTGGGCACTGGGCTTAGCCTCTGAGCCTCAATTTCCTCATTTGTGAAATACAGGGTTTGGCCTGAAATCTCCAAGATCTTACAATGCTGGAGAACTATTAGAAAATACACAGGAATAAAGATTCTGGTGTAGGAACTACAACCCAGAACTGCTGCCTGAGTGATGAAAGGCATCGTGTTGCCCAGCTGCACCTGGGGGGGTCTCTCCCTGCACTCTAGGTGAAGCACTAGGAGAAACCTCAGCCTGGACTGAGGGGAGGGGTCTTGACTCTGAATGAGGAAGAATTCTCAAGGAGGTCAGAATGTAGGTAAAGAGGGAATTCGTTAGAGTGAGAGCAGTAGGAAATGACAGCTGCCTGGCAGGGAGCAGAGAATAGGAAAGTGCAGAGGGAAAGTTCTTGGCCTAGGACAGATTCCCTTGCCAACTCCTGAAGCCAGGGTCACCTGGCATCCTGTGTCTGCTGGGATCTGCACTGCATGGGGAATAGCCCCAACCACTCCAGGATTTGCAGCCGCGGAGCACATGATGGAGTGAGATTATGTTCTCAAGAGTTTCCCAAAGGAGATTTTCAGGCAGGCTACTGAGAGCAGATCACACAGCTGCAGTTTCATCCGGGTCACCCAGGCAATGGAAACATGCAGGCCCAAATCTTGAATTTAGCAGCCCCTTCCTACTCATTAGGAGTAAAGCAGAACAGAGTGAAGACTTGGAAATAAAGTGAAATAGCAAGGAGACAAAACAATAATTTGAGCAGTGAGAAAGCTTTATTTGAAAGTACACACTTAAAGGAAAGTGCGGGCATCCTCAGGAGGCGCACTGAAAGTTTGGGGTTTCTTTTCTAAGGCTTTCAAGAATGGGGCAAAGGGCAGTGAGGGGGTTGTTGGGCATAGGCTTGACTTGGTCCTAAGGTGCTTATCTGGTGAGAGACACCATGTCTCCTTTATTATCACTCCTCCAGCTGATTCTGCTAAATTAACCCAACACAAGGAATTTATTTATCCTGTTTTCCTCCAAGATAGTGGTTACCCTCAAGTAGTGGGAACATAGCAGTCAGGACTGCCTGCCCTGCCTTAAGATAGGCTGTTAGGTTATTGTCTGATTGCCAGAGAATGTGTTAGGAATCTTCTCAACTCTCTGCTTTTTAAAATGGAATCTTAGCCTTAAGATGGGGTCCCTCCTGTGCTTACTATACTGTTTATATATCAGCATTTTTCATCATAGGCAGGAAAAGTTAATCATGTTTGTTCCATGTCCCTGCCCTGCCTCAGTAGGACCCTCCAATCTCTGTCCTCATGTCAAGAGGAGGTTCTGGGACCTTTCTTCTGGAGCCATCCAAAAGGGAAAAAACAAAAATTTTATTAGTTCTTGTTCAAAGACTGAGTAGGATATTTTTGTAACTGCTCTAAAGTAACTCAAAGGTGAGGGCTTTAAAAAGAGTAAGCCTTATTTAATAGTCTAATGAAATCCCATAAGGGAATTCCTCATATACATCCTGAATGCATCAATCTTGTTTTGAGAGATTTTCAGAGTGATCTTTTGGGGTAGCCTCTTTATGGCTGCATTTATGTGTCTATATGAGTGTACATATGTGTTTTTTAATTTTGTATAATGTTTGGATGTTGATAAATGATAATACATACTTTTTCATACAAGCTTGGTGATGCCTTTCAAGCTGTTTCTCATTGGAGAATGTAAGTATGCAGCAGGTTTGTGATTCTGCCGGCATCTTTGGGACTGCAGAAAGCTCGCCCTGTCTCTGGGCGGTACTCCGCGGGGGCCATGCGGACATCCCTGTGCTGGCGTTCCCATGGACGGTTCTGGCCTCAGACCTCAGGCAGTGCCTTACATCACCCAGTACTTGCCTTGCTCCGGGTTTTCCAACCTCACCACTGTACAGGTTTACAAACAGTAATCTTTCTCACCAGTCCCGTGAGAGGAACGAGTTATTGCCAAAATAAATGTCTTGGTTTTGTGTTGCTGTGTATCCCTGGTGGAGTTGGGTGTAAAGAAGAACTTCTCAAACTGGATTTGCTAATGAAGCGCTTTAAAATCAGTTTATCTGTGGAGAGAAGGAATTACGGAGGCAGTGCCAGTTCACTGGAGAATACTGAATGGTGTAAAGAAAAACTATCACCACCCACATTTCCACCAGCCCAGATTCAACCTCTGGGTTAGCTGAGGAGGCTCCCCTGGGCTGTTACACTTCTTTTAAAGATTACGTAATGTCAGGGTTGTCCCCCAATCCGGAATCCCTTGCACTCTCCGTTTTTCCCATTGCAGAGGGCGGAGCGAGGTCTCAGCCATGGACAGAGGCCAATCCCGCGGTGGGGGCGGGGCCTCGTGTGGCCCCGCCCCGCCGGCTCCCGGAAGAGACCTCGGGCCAGGGCGGCCGGCCGCTGCGGGCTCGGGCACGGGGGCTTGTGCCCGGCGGCTGCCCGCAGGCCCCCCACCCCCCCGTGCGCCCTCCGCTCTGCTGGCGCGACCATGGCGCCATGGCGATGGCTGGGCGGCTGCTTCCTGCTGTCAGGTGAGGGGTTCGCGGGAGGCGGCGCCGGGCAGCCTCCGAGGCGCGCGACCCCCGAGCCCGGCTGCCTGCCCGGGACCCGGTCCTGCCGCCGCGCCGCGTGCCGGTCCCAGATGGGCTTGGACATCGCGAGGCGCGGCCGCTACTCCGGGCAGCGATGGGCCCAAGGGCGACCCCCGGGCGGACCGCATAGGCGCGCCTAAGTGCCCCGCTGGGCCGCCAGGGCCTCCCATTCAGCCCTCGGCACCCCGACACCTGAATTCCCTCCGGCCACAGCGCTGTGGCTTCCGAGTTCTGCCCTCCTCCAAATGGCCTGCCCCGGTTCAAGCCGCGATGGACCCTTCCTTTCTGATGACCTCCTCCCCGGCCTTCCGGGATACCACACTGGCCAGTTTTCCGACCTCTCAGGCTTCTCCACTCAGGGCCCGCCGCCTTTACCAGGTCTCTGTAAGGCCAGGTCTCTGTGCCCCAGCCCTCTGATATCTTCCCCTGCACTATCCCTTTAGGGGGTTATCTGCAAAACCCTGGCTTTGAAGACCAGCTCCACCGACAATGAAGTTTGTATCTCTTGGCACTAGTTGGTTGACGGATCAGCGGTGGTTTATATTTCTTCTCTCTGCTTTTGCTTTTGTGTATGGTTAACATTTTCTTTTGGAAAGTTTAAAAATGATTTCTATCTCTAGCCCAGATCTGTCCTCTGTGCTCCAGGCTCATTCGTCCAGCTCCTTCTGACATTTCTACTTATATGTCTGTCCAGCATCTGGAGCCGAATGCAGCTAAAATGGGACTTTTGATTTTCTGCCTCCAGCCCCAATCAGGGCATCGGATGCTTAAGCCAGGAATGGGTATTAACTACTTCTCCACATTCGATGTATCAGGAAGTCTGGACTTCATATCTCTGGGAATATATCTGAAATCCATCTACCCACCCCTCCCACCTTTCTACTACCACCCAAATCCAGGCCACCCCCGATGGGTTCCCACTTCACCCTGCTCTCCACCCTACCTCCCCTACCTAGCAGTTCCTTCTCTGGCTCTTGAAATAAAATCCAGATTGCTCAGTACTGCTAACATGTCTTTCTCTCCTGCATGCATGTGGCCACTTGAAGACACAGGGCCCATAGGGGAGTGTTGGGTATGGACATTTTGGGGGGCAGCATGTTTGAAGAAAAAAGTTGCAAACTTTTCCCCTTTATTTTTACAGCATTAGGAATGGTACCCCCTCCTGAAACTGTCAGAATACATTCAGTTAATTTCAAGAACATTCTACAATGGGAGTCGCCTGCTTTTCCCAAAGGGAACCTGACCTTCACAGCTCAGTACCAAAGGTGGGTCTGGGACACTTGGCATGAAGACACCAGAGGATGGGGGCCCCAGGCTAGTCACTGGGCTAGACCACAGGAGAGCGTCTGACTGCTGCCACTGAGTTACTGTAACAGTCCATGGGGAACCCCCTGCTGGCTTTTTTCTTCCTGTCCCTGAAATTCTTATGAAAGCTCTGTTCCCTGAAAATGGGCAGGCACACTCTTCTTCACTTTTTCTTCTGATGTTTCATGGTTTGACCATTGCAGGGCCACTGGTAAAAACAGATATTTTATCACATGGGTGTGGATTTCATTGGCCACAGTGGTAGCCTACTGCAGTATGACACTTGTCACATTTGATGTTTTTTTAGGAGAAAAAAATGTCATAGCATCTCCGGTTATTAGAGTCATATTGCTAGAAATCAACAATGTACAAGTGGAAGCCATACAAGAAAACCAAGGTATGCAAAGCAGTTAGGAAGGCCCTTGCCATCTTACCACCCATCCCCATGCTCGTTGATTATAACAGCGCACCTGTGTGCTGTTGGGTGCAGATTGTTTGCATAGTGGTGGCTCAGTTACTTAGTGGCTATATCCTGAAATTGAAAGTAAGACAGCTACTGGCTGTTAAAAGCTCTGTTCTCTGAAAACAGCAAAGGCTTATGTAGGAAGGGTGAACGTCACCTAAGACAAGTATCTCAGTGGTGCCCTGACCCAGTCCCCACCCTGCCTATCGATTTTTCCCTGTGCCAGTTCTCCCTTAGCAGCCTGCCACCATGTACCATAGGCTGGACTGCTGGTGAAGCACAGTAATGCCAGATGCAAACAGCAGCAGGAGGCCAAAGGC